ACACAGCTAACTCAAATTCATAATTATAATACCCCGTTCTATTTTGGCAAGGAACTAGTTAGGGAATATTATCTTGAAAGGAATAAGAAAAATTTTAAAGAATTTAGAATAATCTAAAAAGATCTAGAATGTTGGAGAAGTTTCTAGAAAGTTTTAGAAGATTCTAGAAAGTTCAAGAATAACTTAGAATAGTCTAGAATAATTTAGAAGATCTAGAATGTTGAAAAAATTTCTAGAAGAATTCGGAAAGTTCTAGAACAATCTATAGAAGTCTAGAGTATTTTAGAAGATTTTAGGAAATACTAGAAGGTTTTAGAGGGATTTAGAATGTTCTGGAAAGTTTCAGAAGGACGTAGAAGGTTGGAGAAGACTTTAGAATATCATAGATGAATCTAAATACTTGTGAAATTGCCACGTGCAAAATAAGCTTAAAACCTAGAAGGATCTAGGAAAGGGGAGATGGTAGAATATTCTAGGGTGTCAATATTCTCTAGAATAATCCTAGAATGCCTATAAATAGGGCATTTGGGGATTAGATTAAGATACAAGTGCACAAGTAGTCTTCCACATTTCAAAAAGAATAGAGAGTAAAAGAGAGAAAAAGAAGGAAGAACACCTCGTCAAAAGAGAAAAGAAATTGTGAGAAAAAGAGGAAAGACATCAATAACATCTCACTCTACTTTGGTAACAAGCAACACTCAAGAAGTATAACATTTGGACAAGAGGTAAGTGGTTTGGCATGCTACGTATTTTTCCTGTATCCCGAAACATTTTAAAAATGATACATAATGTTTGTTCTTTACTACCTTTACAATAATGTTATACTAATTGTCTATATATTTGCGGCATACGATTTTAATTACTTTAATGAACTCTTTTGTGAAGTATTGTGACTAAATAATTTTTTTATATGGTGAGACTTTGTGATAGTGAATGGGGTCATGATTGAAAGTTTAGGAAAATTATTCCTCTGTGTGCAGGTGACCCTGGCCACTAGGAAACAGACCCGGGAGAGACTGAGGTGACCCTAGTGCTCAACGGTTGAAAGAATAGTGTCCGGTGCGTCCTAGTGACCTTCACCAAATCGTCTTAGGGAACAGTTCCCGGACGGCAATCTGTGGTGACCCTAAGTACGATGTTGGATCCAATCCTAAGATATATTTTGCCATTTGATTAAAAGTACATAAAAATTATTCCTCTGTGTGCAGGTGACCCTAGCCACTAGGGAACAGACCCGGGAAAGGCTGAGGTGACCCTAGTGCTCAACGATTGAAGGAACAGTTCCTGGTGCGTCCCGGTGACCTTCACCGAATCGTCTTAGGGAACAGCTCTCGGGCGACAACCCGTGGTGACCTTAAGTATGATGTTGAATCTAACCTTGAGATCTTCTGGCATTTGGTATAGTTCCCAGATATCTTACAAGTTCTTACCAGTAGAAAATGATGATATAATTTGTTATTATCACAATATTTTTATTGGCTTTGTTTATGATTATCTATCGTATGTCATACGTATCTTCTTGTTGTCAGTTATTGTATTTGGTATTTGGTTCCCATTAATTATTGAATAATGTACAATCTCCACTATTATGATATGATTCACCATTATGATATGATTTACCATTGTGATATGATTTTTTGTTGGAATCCGATTGTGTTATTCTTGAGAAGTTGGTTATCTTGACGAAGTTATTTTTTTCAAATCTTTGATTTACATGTCTTATGTCAAATATGTGTTTCAGTCACTTTGAATATGCATATCTTTCTATTTATTGGTTTTTTTAGCTCATGTTTTCAAAATAATATTTTTTTAGGTAAACGATTAGAGTGTCAATAGCGGACTCAGGGAATTGATTGGAGACTAATAGTGTTGTGACCTACGTAACATTTATCGTATAGCCATCTTTACTTGTTTAGATAATTGGGACAAACAGGTTTAAGTATGTTGACTTTAACATATTGACATGAGATCAATTTAGTGCTAATGTTATTTTTCACTCTTATATTATTAGTTTATTGTTAGGTTTATGTGTTCCATAAGTTATGGATCTATGGTTCACGGCCGGTCATGCCTTTGGAGTTGGGGTGTGACAATATCAATCAACAAATAACGAATAAGAATACAATTTTTAAATCATCAATAGAACACTCTTTGCAAAGAGATTTAAAAGACATAAGTATATTGTATACTACTCCGTACTTCAAACTAAAAATTAATACTGATAGATTAGATCAGCACCATCTTAGGAGCATTTATAAAAATTCAAGATGTTACAATCCACCCTCACTTAAAAGAATTTGGTCCTCGAAATTCACAATTTAGAAGCTAGTAACTTTTGTTCCGTACTTTGATACCATATTTAATTTATACACCCTAACAAGGAAAACCTTAGTTAACTCACTCCTCACATTACCCACGTAAGATCTGAAACCTAAGCTCTAATACCACTTTGTAATGACCCGATTTTATGAATGAGCAAAGATGAATGGCGTGTATGTTCATGAATGGGCAAATATGAATGGCATATTCTGAGTTGCATGATGTCTTATGAATTGAATGTTGTCTTCTAAGTTGCATCTGATCAATAGTGTGATTGTTCTGAACAGTCACCGGTAAATCTATAAATAACCCAGATTCATTAGCATTCTGAACTTGCATAACTTGTGAAATTAATCATTAAGATAGTCATTGCATTCATCATTCTCGTGATTAAGAGTCATCATTTTTGAGAGTACAAAACGCATTCCGATTTGCTAGACAAACATATTGGAGTACCACTTCAGGTTGCGTGAAGATTATTGTATCTTGAAAGGTAGCCGTAAAGATTTCCATTAACACAAGTGTTAGAGGCGAAATTAGTCTTAGGATATAGTGTCAAAGACTAGTCTTGATCTAAAAATTCTTTTTTTTATCTTGATCTGCAGTGGGGTCAATTTTGTTTATTGCAATTTTATGTGTTACTATTTTGTTCTTAATTACATAAATAGCTTTTTTTTGTTGTTGTTGCTGTTGTTGTTTAGTATATTTGCATGTTTAATATTTGATACAGATCAAAAAGGGATTAGATGAACTTAAATTGAAGAATTAAATTTTATTATTTGTTTTACTATTATTATATTAGTTATGGAATATTTGTTTGACCTGGAGTATTAATTAGAGTTTAACTAAGAAATTATTATAGACATGTAGTAGTATAGGAGTTTAAGAGTTTGATTATGAAACTCTTTTAGAATTTTAGTAGGAAAATAATTTTTATTTTGGTAGGGAACTTAGTCTATAAATAATGGTGTAATCCCAACTATTTTTATTAGAGAGAGAAATATAATAGAAACTTCTTTCTTAGTGGAGAATTGTGTATGTTTCTTGACTAATTCCTTACAAGGACGAGGTAAATCTCTTTCACCCCTCTTATATCTTCTTCTCTTTCTATTCTTTGATTTCTAGTCCTTTTTTTCCTACATCAATTTAGTATCAAAGCCCAATTGTTGAGTTGCTAGCTTGTCCCGGTATTGAAGTTTGGGTACATCCTTGATCCCAGTCTCCCTTTACCTTATTTCTTTTTCCTAATCAGCCTCTTTACCCAATAACATTTTACCTGATTTGTTTTCCGCAAACAGATCTTACCTCCAAACCCAATTCAACAAAAAATAAAAAACTAAGTCCATATTGTTGGCCCGACATTAACCAGCCCAAACAAAGAAAAACAAAATTCCAGCTCGAGGCCCATTAACCCATCCCCATCATTTGAACCCAATCTTTGAAGTCACACAAACACCGCCCAAACCTTTCTAAAATTACAAATTTAACCCTAAAGTTTTAAAAATTACACTTTGGACCCCAAATATTTAGAAATTACACTTTGGCCGCTAAAATTTCTGAAGTTTCACTTTTATCCCAAAAGTTTTGGAAATTACAAATTGACCCAGAATTTTTAGAAAATTTCTCTAAACTCTACTCCAACCAATATGGTTACCAATGCCGAATTACACTGGTTTATATGCTTCCTTCACCTAGAATAGTGTATGTGGATAAAATTATGGTGGATGCAATGCATCAAGGGATTGTTTTCTAATATAGGGATCTATAATGTTATTTTCTTGGAACACAAGCTTCTTCAGATTTTTTGCAATCTTTGTGGCCTTACAACTCCTCGGAGTTGAGTTTTTTTCAATCGGAAAAATTGATAAAAACCGAAAAGGGATTGAATGAGCTTAAATTAAAGAATTGAATTTTATTATTTTTTTTACTATTATTATATTAGGGAATATTTGTTTGACTAAGAATATTAATTAGAGTTTAAATAAGAAATTATTATAAAATTTTAATAATATAGGAGTTTAAGAGTTTGATTATGAAATTCTTTTAGAATTTTAGTAGGAAAATTGATAATAAAAACTTGTTTCTTTGTGGAGAATTGTGTGTTTCTCGACCGATTCCTTGTGAGCATGGCCTTCCACCCCTCTTATTTCTTCTCCGGTTTATATTCTCTAATTTTTAGTTCTTCCCATCCTACATCAATGTTATTTCAGAATCATGATAAATAATTTGTCATATTGATATGATCTCGCCAACAAACATAAGTTAAAAGAGGAAAAAAGTGAAATTCCAAATACCTTAAATTTCTTTGGAAGACCCATATGCATGGTTGGAAAGCAGACTAGGCATTGTAGCGGAAAAAGGTGAAGCCCCATAGGCCCCTACCTACCCACCCACGCCACCCCCCCCCCCCCAACCCGGCAGGGGCCTGCCCCTCCTTTTTCTTTAATTTCTTCAAACAAAAGTGGGTTTCCCACTTTTCTTTTCTGCTTCAACATCATGAAAATTAACAAGTTATAATAGCTGAATATTTTGTAGTTGCAGTTGACTTTAGCCTAAGATTCTTTTTCTTAACCGCAGACACCATAAACCCAACTTTTGACTTAGATTTACCTTTCGTTCCTACATCCAATCAGTCAATAAACACATAAGCACCACAAAAGGGCCAAGAAAGGGATACATTTCTAATCTGCTTCGATTCGATAAAAGAGATAGGTGTAACGGGCTGAAAGCGGTACCTGTTTCCCATTAGATAATGGATCTCGTCGAGAGCTTATAGATCCAACTCTGCGCGACATGGAGCCGTCGAATCTTTGGGACAACTGGAGCTGATTAATTGCCATTGATAGAGCCTGTCTGTGCAAGGCCTCCTCCTCCGTTAGCATTTTCCTCTGCGACCGACCCACTCTCTTGCTCTTTGATGCATTATTATTAATATCTTTCTTTGTCATGCAAATAAATCGATTACCCATCTCTAGAAATCAGATTTCCCAGAAAAAACCGCCAATTTCGACCGAAAGTAGCCCGAATCAGGGAATTTTCCGAAGTTGGTGGAGTGAAAACGACGGCGTGCTGGGTGCGGAATCTGGCATTTCGCTGGTCTTCGGCTGAAGTGTGAATGGAGGAAGAGAGTAGGTGAGACTTGAGAGAAGTAGGAGAATGGTAGTGGTTTTTAATTGTGAAAACAATCTGGAACAACTCAACCCAGCTAAATATGCGTGCAATTTAATGCTTCTCATTTTCAACGGTGCTATGACTTTCACCTGCACTCCCTCTTGCTTCTTCCTGTTTTACTGTTTGGCCCCCAGTGCGACATTTGCAGTCGCAGAAGAAGTTCATTTGTGATGCGGTAACTCGGTGCGAAGCCCATGAAAAATTAAGAGTAAATTACATATATGTCCTCATCCTATTATTAAAATTATTTTATAATAATTGAGCTCCAGAACTTTCTTTAATTGTGTCGCTTAAGTCCTTACCTTTTTTTGTCATATAGTCACGTAAGTGGCACGTTTTAATGAGATAGACAAAAGAGTTCAATTGACACAATTAGAGAGTTTATAGGCTTTAAATAACACAAAGACATAATTTGAGGATTATATGTATAGCATGCTCCAATTATTTGTGTTAAGTGAGTGGCGCACTTTGCCACTTTCCATTAGAAATTCTAACAGATGTAAACAGAAGGGCTCAATTAGCATAATTAAAAAGTTCAAAAACTCAGTTGACACATGGGTCATAATTTAAGGACTATGTGCAATTTACTCAAAAAATAAATAAAACTAATCTAGGCAACTACAGACAATTTTTTTGCCCTAGTATTTTTATAATCAATCATAGTGGAATTCCTCCATATTTGGATATTACCTCTTCATAGGTGGTTTTAACAAACGATATTCTTTAAAACATACCCTATGTAAGTCTCATATACTTATTGTAAAGTATATTAGATCATCACGTTTTGCATGTATATAAAATAACTTAAGAATAAGTGATATGAGTGTCTCACAAGTTTGAAAGTATTCTGAATCTTAGATGCATTTTGAGAGAAATTAGGTTGAAAGCAATTAGGTATTACCTTTGTATTTTAATATTAACTTTTTTTCATCTTGATATCTAATGGATCTAATTTTTGGGCATTAGAAACTAGACTTCAAGAGCTAAGTGTATTTCATACACATTTCGTGAATCGACTTCTAATTAGGCCAAAACTGTTATGAAAGTTTAGATAGAAAACTAGAGTATATTCAAATGTCAGCCACGTTCAAATGCAGCTTAGCCCCAGAAGTTTAGTCTTGAGAGATAGAACTGGAGATATTGGGAGTAAAGCACATTCGAATTCAAGTTACATCCGAATGTGAGTACACGTTTTGTAGCGATCAGACTCGCGTCGGTAAACTAGTTTCTAACCCTATAAATACCCTAAGAACGTTCTTTCTGTTATTTTTTAGCAACTTTCAACTGTAAGGAGGCTAAGGAGAGTTAGGAGAATGGAAAAAGAAAAGATTTCGAGGGATTTATGCATGGAAAATGCAATAAAATACGTTAGAATCAAGATCTACAAAAAATAAGGTATGAGTTCTTTCTCAAACTCATTCATTAAGATTTCTTTTCTTTTTTTTCTGTCATTATTCATTGACATTAGGGTTATATATTCATATCGTTTTCATCTTTATTATGATACAAATAATATATCTATGATGTTTTTACATTCGTTTGAATACATGAATTGTTTCTTGAACAAAATACATGATTTGCTTCCAAGATTCATTTACTCTTGATTTAAAAATCTTAAATCTTGAATACTGTGAACATTTACATGCTTTTTTTACAACCTTTTCCATGTTTAAATTGAGTTACTCTTGTATTTGGAAAATTGTGAAATTGTGGGAAAGAGGAATTTTGTGAAAATATGAAATTATCTCTTGTATGGGTGCGTGCGAAAAACGTGAATTTCACTCAAATCTATATCATAGTGTTTAAATGTTTTTTTATTACCGCAAGAGGTTTGAAATTTTCCTATCACTCGTAGTGGAATTGCTTGGTTTCTTGTGAAGTTCAAGGATTTGCACTGTGAGTTCATGATGTTCGAGATTAAGGGCTAATGTACTAGTCCTAGAAGGATTCGTCAATGTCGATGCGTCAGTATATACTCTTTCTAAAGTATTATGGCCTTACAGGGATTGATTGGATGATTTTGTGTTTGTGATGTGGTGTGGACCAGAACTGTCAATGTATAGATTCATGTTAATTAACCTACGTATATGAGATATTATGTTTTGAGCTGTGGTTTGTGAATGATTCTATCTTGCTATGAACTTTACTATTTTGTACCATAAAACTTGAGATCGTTATTAAATGTCACTGTTTTATTTCAAAATCATATGTGCTATTTTTATAACTGAGTCTTACCTATTTTTATGATTTCTAAACCATGTTTGGGTTTGAGAAAGTTTTTCTACTTGGCTTATTGCTCATCTTACAATATAAACATATTTTTTAGATTTTTTCTTTGAGGAAGACAGAACTCTAGGTGAGCAGGTTGATTAGGATACTGAGGTGGATCATGACGTGGATCTGGAATTGGATACCGAGAGATGTTTTCTTTAGTTTAAATTTTTTACTTGTGGTTGAATGTTTCGGAATATTTCTTTAGTTAGTTTATGGGAGAATACTTACACTGGTTTGGATGCAACCTTAAGAATTTATTTATATTTTATTTGGAGATTTATCTAGTTAGATAATGAATGATGAATAATTTTATTTATTTAATGATACTTTAATATACCCTCATTGTTTGATAGTTGATAAATAGTTAATGCCTTCATTGTGGATTTTGGGGCGATACACCTTCCCCCTTCTAGCTATATGAATAATTTTTATTTAGGTCATTTAAGTAGAAAATCTCATCACTTAAGTTATTACAAGGGTTGAATCAAGATTTAATTTTATTATTGTTATCTTACCAAGTTACACAGTTAGTCTCAATCAACAACACTTTGAGAAGTTTTTACATAAAATTTGTTGAATACAATGCGTGCACACGAGTTCTAGGACAATGTCACACCTTCGTGTATTATGCAACTCTACCATTTTGTGATGACCCGCATAAAAATTAATTACTAACACGCTAATTAGATCATTAATTATGATTCTATATAATTAAGAGTTATTTTTAGAAATTTCAAATAAATAAATAGACATTGAATATGGATTCCTTACTGTAACAAGAAAAAAATAGGAGAAGGTGGCAAATGATAGGCCATGCAAACATAAACTTGCCAAACTTTGGCTATAAATAGCCATATTCAGTTGTAGAGCAAAACGCAAAAAGGAAAGGAAAAGGAGAGGGGAAGGAAGAAAGAGATAGCAGAAGGGAATAAAAGGGTTGGAGTTCTGTCAACCTAGAAGTTCAATCTTGCGATTAAAAATTTAGGCAAACTTTATGGGTTATGATTTAGCAATTTTCAATTTTATGGCATTCAGATCTATTTTTTATGCAATTGAAGTCAAATGTTGGGTGTAGGTATAGCCTTGATTTTGGTGGCTCTCATTTGGGCACCTTTCTTAGGAATTTGGAATTTGAATCCCTTAAGCAACCCAAAATACGTCAAGTAAGGAAGCATAATTTGTTCTTTTTTCATTATGTATTGTCTCATTCTAGTGACTATGGCCCTCTAATAGCTTGAGCCATCCCTCACTAATTTGATTTTTCTTGGGCACCAAGTTGACCATCACCCTCTCTCTAGAAATCTCTCTATAAGCCTCTAAAAGTATTTTATATCATCTAGAGAGGTCCAAGTCCAAACCCTAGAGATGCCTAAGCATCAATGACAAATCTACCTAGATTAATCTCATACTTCACTTTCAAATCAAGAAGAAAGATAGAACCTATAGAGACCCACCAAACACACATCAATGTGTGAAGGCTTTGATCTAGTAGATTTTGGGAGGAGTCCTTGAAGATCAAAAGAGGAGAAGTTGGATCGTGGAGCTAGATTTGCCCTTTGAAGCTAGTACTCAAATCTTATGATGGCGATTCTAAAGGGGAGATTCAAGGAGGAAAGCATCTAACCAGGGAATTGGTTAAGATATAAGACCTTGGACCTTGTAATCCTATTTTTAGTATAGTTAGTTAGATTTAGGTGGACTAATAGTGGTCCCAAGGTTTTTCTTGAGAGAGTTCCACGTTAAAATTGACTCGTGTTGTGGTTATTGTTGATTTGCTTATTTTGCATACACGTACAATTGCTCACACATGTACCATATGTTTGATGATATGATTGTATGATTGCTATATCTTAAATCATCATCATTATGGTTTGAAAATTAGTGAAAGAGCTTAGAGGGATAAGTATTGTCACACCCCAATTTCCATAATAAAGGCATGGACTAACTATTAACCATCAAACCTTGAGAGCATACTAAAATACCATAATATAAATTAATGTCAATCATCAAAATCATCTAACTGAACAAAATCCCAAATGAAACATAAAATCTCCTTTAGGTTACATCCAAAATTAGAATAATAATCTTCCAACTAACTAATAAAAGAAGTACTCATAACATTTATCCAATCAACCAAAATTTAGAAAATTAAAACTAGAGTTATTCTAGGCTTCCACATTCGACACCACATCATGATCTACCTTTTCATTCCAATCTATTTGCTCACTAGCTCGGCTTCTCCCTCCCCACCAAATCTAAAAAATTTTGGTAGGGTGAGAAAACAAACCTAATAGGAAGACCTTCTCAAACCTAAACAAGCTTTTGAAATAATAAAATAGGTAAGTCTTAGGTGATAAAATAACATACAATACTTTGAAGCAAAATAATGACAGTTAATGAGATCTCAAATTTACGGTACAAATCAGTAATGTTCAATAAGAAGTAAAACTCATTCTCAAAGCAATAGATAATCATAACAAGTATATCTCATGTACATAGGTTGACTATCGTAGAACTACACATC